TTTTAGCGGTCGCAAGATGAAGTATGTGGTGCACTGCTCCAACTACGCGGGGCAGGTGGGTCCCGACTATCTGACGCCCACGCAGCGGGCGCAGCGGCAAGTACGTCGCCTCAAGGAGCTTCTGTGCATAGCGCGCCAGGATCTTGAACAGAAGGACACTGAGATCTTGCGTCTGACACGGGAAGTGGTCGAGCTGCGTCTGTTCAAGGCGTCTCTGAGTTCACCCGAAGAACGTTCCGCTTCTTCCGATGCGGTGACTGTGCGCGAAGCGGAGCTTAAGACCTCCCAGGACGTGTCGCCCATTGTGGATATGGTGGACGACGGCAACGACAAGCATCTGGTGCGCCAACAGCAGCAGCAACTCTCGGCTATGCAGATGTCCGCTGAGATGCAAAGCTCGTACGCGGACTCGGGCCACTTCGAGGACCTCACCATGTCCTCAGTTCACTCCAAGGACTCGCAGACCCAGAGTGAGGTCTGTGGCACTGCCACGCCCGATGCGGAGCCGGAGGCAGCCTGTGGGGGCGAAGATGCGACCAGTAGTGTCGAGAACTACGAGATGCAGCGGCAAGAGTTGATTCGCATGTACGAGCACCGGATCGAGGAACTGATACGCAGCCAGGACGGAGCCACCAGCGACCTGAAGCGCAGCCACAACGACAAGGTGGAGGCACTGCTACAGAAGCTGGCCGAATGCAACACACGATACTCGGATATGGTGCCCGACTACGAGCAGGCGAAACAGCGCATCCGGGAGCTCGAAAAGCAGCTAGAGGATCTGCAGCGGAAGCTGGTAGAGCACGAAGACAAGCAGAACAAGATGTACCTGCACATGTACCAGCAGGGACAGGAAGCAGAGCGCATATCTCGCGCCGATCAGGTACAGTTGTGCTTGTTAAATCTCCGTGAAATAGTGTCTCATTCCACCCGTTGCGTTTCAGGCACTCGAACTGGCCCAGAGGAAACCGGAGAGCAAGGTGTCGATCAACGAACTGCTGCACCAGCTCCAGAGCACCCAGGACGAATTGGAGAACATACGCGTAAGATTCTTCAATATTTTCCTCATCCTATTTTCGGTTTTGTTTTGTGTGTTGCATTTTGTTGCATCGTGAGCCGCCACAACACCACAACACATCAAAACAGCATTCGCTTCACTTCTCCACATCTGTATGTCTGTGTGCGCATTGGGTTGGGGCGTGGCACTTCAATTTGGCGCTTTGCCTGGCTGTAAAAGCTGCAACTAATTGAAATGTCCGCCAATCAATTAAGCAATAAACAACATAAGCAACAATTTCAATTGATTTCGTTTTTAGCCATTAAGTACCATTTGCATAATTAAATAACTTTTATCCACAACACATTTAAACACATTACATTAAACGCAACGTTTATTTTCAATTCGTTTCTTTTGTTTCATTTCAATTCCGTTGCGAGTTCAATTACCGTAGAATAAGTACAGTTCACGTAGATCGGAGTGGAGAACATAATTTGCATGGCAGTAAAAGTACAGTTAACCGTTCGTTTTTTGTTCAATTTTAAGTCCAAATCGTTCCAATTATTGCATACCTTCTTGCCGGTCCTACAAATGTATACCTTCGTAGTTATCCTTTATTAAATTATCAACTTTGTTTTTATCCTTACAAAAAAAACATTAAAATTCTAAATATTTTGTCGTATAACCATAAACAAAACCAAAAACCAAACTATTTTTGTAGGCATCAGAGTGTAGAATGAGGGAGTGCGGCAGTAATCATGCTCTCCTTACGGCAAAGGAGGCGATTTCTTTGTGGGTTCTTGGCGCGCGTAAGGTTTGTAATAACAAAAAAACAATTTCCCCCTTCCTAAAATTCCTGTACAATCTACCTAACTGTTTTTTTTTGGTTTTGCAAAATTCCATTAAAATTACACACATCCACATCCACCATAAAAATAATATGTCCCAAGACTCTTCGAATACCGCGCTTAAAAACGGTATTCTTAGTTGCAACTTATAATTTAATCAATCACATTGGCTATATCGAACATTGGGTTTTATCATCCACGAACCCCTTCCATCCAAAACGTCTCGAAACTAACCCACATTCATTTGTCAACATTTGCGCTGTCATTTCTGGGCAAGGGTAAGGTTTTTGGGTTCGTAACTTCAAATCTGTTTCCGCGGGAACATTTTGATAATTTCCTAAAATGATTTGTTTTGTAAGTACATTTTGTTCATTCCAAAACCAAACCAAACAAATCTGTTCTATACTCGTAGAGGTATCGACTAGAGGTATGTTCAACATCATTAATACATCATGACACACAAGGCTAGATCACTTTCTATAACAGAACGAACACACACAAATAAAGAAATTCTCTAAATTAGCTCCATTTAGCATGTGGTCCATCCAACGTGTTCTCTTCAGTAATCTCGTATAACCAGTAAAAGAAACTATAATTCCCTTTCAACTTTTGCCCAAAAGAAACATTATCCCCTCAACTATATGTTCAGTGTTACATACATAACATAACCTAAATGTTCATATGGCATAGCACCATCAATATCGAAATAAACCAATTAATTGTAAATACATTTCTTCATACCTTACCTTACAAATAGTCTTATCAACAACAAACTTATTTCATCTTCTTCTTGCACTCTCTCTTTCTGACTAACCAAATTTATCCGAAACATGAAAAACGAAATGAAATTTACACAGACCATTTATCGGCGCTTGCTGGATGCTCAGAAGAATCGCACCCATGTGGACCCGGAGGTCACGCTGCAGTTCCTGAAGAGCGCCGTATTCTACTTCCTCACGGACAAGGAGAACTCTCAGGGCCACCTGCAGGCCATCGAGAGCATACTCGAGTTCACCGACGAGGAGAAACAGAAAATCGGTCTGGCACGACTTGCCTAAGCACTTATTATTATAATTATGGTAGAGATAACTGGCACGAGAAAGTCTCTAAAACTATGTTTAAATTTTTAGTCCCCGGCTAAATTTCATTGTTTTGTTTTGATTGTTTAACGAATTTATTTGCAATTTTATTTATTTAACTAAATAATTTTGTTAAATTAAGGGGTACAACAATATATTCTTTTCGGCAACGATGTCAAATTTGTCTTATAAGTTAGTTCTATTTAGATAATTTTCTATATAAGGCTTCAGGCATACCAAAACGTCCTTTATTAAAAGAGATAACAGAAATGATGTAGAAAATATAATTTTACAAAATCTAGGTACTTTTTGTAGCTGTAGTTAATCAAATGAGAGTAAGTACTAATCAACACCACATAGTCGTACAATAGCTTTCGTCGTGTTTCAGCGGAATTTTAATGGCAAATAAATGCAATAGTTTAAAATTTGAATTATTCCATGCGTTTAAAAATGGTTTAAAAATTCCGTTAGATTTCATATCATTCCAGATGGCATATTGCATGATGCTTGTCCTATGCTGCCGGTCCTTTGCCGATGAAGTGTGGGTAAAACGGCTTATAAAAACTAATACCATCGAAAGTAAACAAGAAAGACAATATTCCGTTGTTTCGTATGTTTATGGTGTAAACCACGAATTTTTGATTTTTAATTAATAAATAAAACGAGCGGGAACGTGTTGTCTTTTATACCCGGTACTCATTCAGTATATATGTACATACATACATACATACATATGTAAACTTTTGACTTATGTAACCCTTATAATATATAATATAATTGGTATGGGAGCTGACGAAGGCCGCATGCTTTCTCTCTCTCTCATCTCATCTCTTATCATCGCTCAGACTTGATTTACATTATTAATGATAATGGGCTAGAACAGTTTCCAAATACTGAAAGCATAAAAATCCAAACATCAGACACACTTTTTCTAATAGATTTTGGCCTCCAAAAATGTACGTCAATTAAATTAAGCCTAACCAGTCAGTCTCTGTTTTTAAGCTTTTTAAATTTAATCTAAAAAAGGTCAATATTAATTACGTTTGAAATCAGCACGAAAGACATTTTAATATTAATTAAATGAAATAGGGTATAAAAATGTCCATACTCATAGCATAAACCTGTTGAATAGCAACAATAACGTGACATTCCAAATACACTTACGTCGTATTAGATCACACTTACGTTTTTACCCAAATATATGGCTTAGATGTACCAAATATGTAGTTACTGTGTAGTTACCATGTACAAAAATACTTTTTTGTTTCAACCTTATTTTATAAACAAACCAGTAAAATTGGGTCGTTAAAATTAGACAATCTTGTAGGAATATTGATTCGAGAATCGGATAAAATTATGTATTCAGTGCTGAGGGTTCTAGTTAGCTAGTAAAGTTAGACCGAATATCAAAATCGGGAGATATGGTTTCCAATCTGTGACGGAAACAATTAACCCATTGTTAGCCAGGGGTATTTTAATATTCTACCAAGAATTATGAAAATTAAATCAGCGCAATTTAGAGCAGTTCAGGTGAAAGATATCAGGGTTTTAAGTGCAGAGGAAAGCATTGAATGGATCTACAAGAAGAATTTACAATCAGTAATATATTCTGCCATTTACCTAAAGTGGTTGCACTGTTTTAATAGAGGGGGCTTAAGTGGGCTAAGTAACTTTTTACATTGGTATATTTTATTGATTTTATTGCCACCTTGTCTAGCTTACACACCTTGCAACACCTTGTTGACCATTTTCGCTAAAACCTCTTCTTACGCAAAATGCAATAAAAGCAAGTGCTAAAAATAAACCAGTCAAGTAGGAAATTGATTCAGTAATCGGATAAAATTATATGGGCATTGCTAAACTATTTATATAGCTAGTAATATTCCACGGAATATCAAAATCGAGGAATATGTAAAATAGATCTTGAATTCGTCAGTATATTTACGGTATTTTTTAAAATGAGACGGCATATTGTGGTATATTTCTGAGCGTGGGATGGTATATTATAACGATAAACCCGCGGTCACACTGCATACATTGAATCGAGCGGTTGGTGCGGCGCGCGGGTCTTTGGAAAACAACAACATTCGCTAGAAGTTTACGTTAAAACCAAACTAAAAATTGTATAAAAATAAATTATATATTGGTGGTTTCGGGAGCCTTAAAAACAAAAATATGGCCAAAGGCCGGTAAAATAGGCCTATATTTATCCTTCATAAATATCCGAAATACAATTGTTTACCGGAAGGTCTCCCGAGCAAATGCTTCGTAGAGAAATCCATGTGAATCAAGTTAGAACCCGTGCGCGCGGTGTGTTGTTTACGCGGCGTCCGTGTGTAAAAATCGAAGCCACATCGAAACAATAATTACGCAAAGAAGTGGTAAATAATCAAATAGAAGAGTGACCCGCCAGGCAGGGGAAACAGTGATTAAAAGAGAGTTCTGAAAGTTAAAACAGATTCTCCTCCAAGTAAAAGTGCGAAGTTTTGGTGTGTTTTGTTGTTCATGTTTTTTTGGAAAACCGGAAACCCGTCGGAGTGTTTGTTGTGGTCGGTCTCCGGCAGCGGCAGCGGGCAGAGCTTATGCAAATGTGGAACTGGTATGATTATCGTAAAATAAAAAACTAGCATAAGGGTATGATAAACACAGCAATAAACAAGTATATTTCTTTGCTTTGTTGCCTTTCCGCGTGCCCTAGCAACTGCTGGGAAGGGTACCGTGCTCTACTTGGCTGGATTGTGTATTTTTAACAGTTTCTAAAGTTTTAGTAAATTGTAGTTGGCTTAACAGATTTCGAGCTACCACTCTTCGCTGACTGGCCTTCGTTGTGGGAGGGGTGTGAAGAGCAAACAGCAATAACAACACGAGACAACATTTGTGGTACCCAGCATTTAGCGGAGTGCACCGGTAGTGTGCCAATCTGGACGTGCGGAAGGAGTTGTTTGATCAAACATGGCCATTTTGCCATGTACTATTTGATTGTTATTCAGTCTGATTGCATTAACCTCCTTTGGCAAGGAATAGTCCAGTAGTCCAGTCATTACGGCATAGAATTTTGTCTACTATAATACTCGACTCAAAACAAATCCCGAGCAATGGGTATCATTCAGTCGGTCGAGCTCGTATGTTATTCAAATTTCTCATGTTCGGATTCCTCTCTCTCGCTCTCTTTCTCTCTGACTGTCGCATTTTTGTTTGCTTTGGTTTAACTTTCGGGCTACACTTACCCACACACACAAACACTCGCACTCTCGCACACCCTCTTGTCTGTCTGTCCTCATCTTCTATCTCGCTTGCAGTGTATTTAGCTGTTGAGCTATTTATACATTCATTAACGCATTCAGATCAATCCGAGCACGCCTCCTGCTCCCCCTTGGTTCGTCCATATCAATTGGTTTTGGGAATTAGCACAGAAATAAAACAAAGCAACAACACAAATCAGCGTAAATGACTTTCATTTATTTGCCTTGCAGCGTAATAAGGGAAGCCCTACGCCTTTCCGCGGTGCATCAATCAGTCATTCATTGTTTTTATTTGTTCTTTGATAAGGACTAGTTCGAACAGAATGTGAAGCTGACCCAGTAGCAGCTCCTCGCCCTTCAAAATCATATATTTTCATAGCTGCCGTCTTTCACGTGGGAGAAAATAAAACAGTGGCAGATACAAGAGAACAAGAAAACCGCTCTTATCAACACAAACTGCACTTTCACTCTCCCAACATATGGTCACGGACTCACGGGTCTGTTGTTGTCTGTTGCCTGAGTAATGAAATTCTTTTCTATTGTTAAATATTTACATACTTGATATTAATACGGAGGAGGCGGTTGAAAATGGGAAACTTGGGAACTGAGTCAGTACACGGGATAGGGACACATCCTATATGATGGTTTTTAGCTACAGTCAAACATCTCTTGGAGCTAAGAATCAATGGAAGGCTCCTAACGACCATACCCCAGTGGAGTGACGGCATGGGGAGGAGTGACTGAGTTATAGCGAGATTTCATTAGGCGTTTGATTTATCATCCCTTTTAATGATATACACATGCATGCTATGCGATTATGAAGTATGATATTTTCTTCCGGTCGATTTCGTGGATAGTTAGTACTTAATTCGAATTATATAATCGTCACTTTGGATTCTCTCATTTACGGAATCTGCCTCGAATCTGGTGGCCGTCTGTCTCGACTCTCACTCTCACGATTGCGGTATTTAATTTTTACATATGTATTTGCTGCTTTTGTTTTTCTAATGAAACACAATCTTTGATATGTCAGAGATGACTTCATGCATATTTTTAAGAGTACAACCTGAATGTAGGTCGGATCGAATCTGTTTGATGGCTTTATTTGATTTTATTGAAATTGATTTTTGATCCGATCAAAGAATTTGAACTTTGATTTCGGCACTCTGGTCGTATTTTCTTTTCTATTTTATACAATTGTTTAAAGAATTTTTGTTTGGATTTGCGGATATTCGCCTTTGAGTTGATTTTTGATTGTGAAGAATTTTAATGGGCATTTTAAGCATAATGGAATTTCTGTTCAAAGAATTTCCACAGGTTCAAATTAGTTCTATAACCTTTAAGGTGGGAATTATTCTCATCATACATCTGGGATGGATACAAATATATGGGTTGTTTGGTACACCCCAGCATTCTGGTCTTACAAGAGAGATATTTGGGGGATTTCCTTCAAACAAGCATTCAATTACGACACACAATTGATACGAAATCCTCACAGGACATCAGGCATCATAGCAGCACCTAGCCCACAGCCAACTGCTTTCAGATCGATTAATTGGACAGAATGAGTGCAAAAGCCATTTAAGCTACCATTTCCAACTGTCCTTACTTCCCATTTTCATTTATCAGAGTATCTTTTCTGATTATTTTTGTTGGCTATAAAACGAACAGAGCAGAAACGTTGTTGCAATTAGTTTATGTTGTGTCTTGTGCAACCTCGAAAAAGTTCCTCCAAAACTTTTTCACTGTCAGTGCTTAAAAGTCGTTTACCTCCCCAAGCGGCCCCGCTCCACGTAGTTCCCCACAAATTTGGCACGAGAAAATTTCACTTGTGGAGGAGAGCCACTCGCCAACCCAAGCGACAACACTCCCCACTCCTCCCAGCACCCGCACAGTAAACATATGGGTGAGTATGTATATATTCCCAGATAGAATAGTTAGGCTTTGGATAGCTGGGCTATAGAGGTTGACCCATGCCCCCCCTCCTGCCAATGCCCATGCCCATGCGGCAACCGCATTTATAAAACTGCAACAGCTGCAGTTATTTTTCAGCTTGTTTTGTTTGTCGCCCGACGATGCCACTGCAATTTTTCTTTTGTGCTCACCATCGCCTCCTTTTGTCTCTTTCTGTTAACGTATTGGGCGAACCCAAAAAAGGAAGAATGAAAGATCGAATCCATGTAAAATATATTCGAATGCCATATGGAAAAAGTGAATTTCCATGCGAGGTGGTAGCTGAAAAATGTGTTTGTCTGTTCAGTGAAGCGAAGCGAAATAGTGGCATTAGGATTGTCCTCTGGAACTAGTTCTGTTCAGTTAAAGAATTTCCCTAAACCCTAACCCGATACTGACAAAAAATACATATATAAGAGACTATGGATAATAGTTAACTTTTTTAATGCAAATTTAGCTCAAGAATCATTCTTTAAATTGAGTTCAACAGTAGATAGTTTTATAAAAAACAAGACGAGTAATTCAAGTAATTCTCAACAGAACTGGTCCCCCCTCCGCCACATAAAAGACATGTCTAGATTGTGACTGTGGCTATTTCTTGTCTCGTCTCCGAGCATCCGGCTGCCGCGAGCCCACACCTGCTGGTGAAACGGGGATGGAATGCACTTTGAGACGCTAAGATAGTGGTAGCCGGAGAGCAGCAGCTGGCATTGTTTCATGTTGCTAGTAGTTTGGCCTACCTGTTCAGCCTTTGCCTTGCCGGAGCCTTTTCCGCCAGGGGCAAACGAGAAACGAAACAAAAATGGTATAGAACAAACGAATTCCTCAAAAATTTGTGCGTTGTTGCGTCATCGCACATGGAAAAGTATTGGTATTCCTACACATAGATATATACATATGTATATACATGTAGCTATGTATAGGAACAATAAAAAAAAAAAAAAATGTTACAGTCTCTGAGTCCGGGGCTGGTTTTCTAGTTAGTCATTTGCCGGTCTCGGGAACCACAGAACTAGTTTTTGCCTCAATTTATATGATTTTTAGCCTCTTGAGCGTCTAACTACAGAAATATTTTATAATTTTATTTATGTGCGAATGTTTTCATTTGTTGTATTTTAGGATTGGTGCTGTCCCACCTTTTGAATGACTTAATTAAATTTCAGTTTTATCGTTATAATTAAATTTGCCACAATTTTCCCCACACTGCTTATCGTCGCACCGTGGCGGTGTGGCTGAGTGTCTGTCTGTGTGGGCAATCAAAGTATGAAAGAGAAATATTTGCAACGAAATATATATTCCACAATATACATATGTAAAGCCTAAAGGCCCATTCTAAGTGGTTCGTACAGACGTTGCTTATAGACGACTTCTCTGACTTCTCATGCGTGAATGCCATATTATTTGCACTGTTTCGGCGGGGGCGGGGTCGTGAGAATATGACTGATTCTGGGCTTTCGATTGTGTTCTCTTCCAATTGATTAGTTGCTATCGTAAACACTCATACATATATCGTATATCGTGTGGGGGGGAGGCTCATCTGCTTCGATCTTGAACTATATGACTCGAAAACTGTGTATGCCTCTGCCTCTGTCACGGTTCGCTGCCTGCCAGACATTTGCATACGAGTATTTGGCAAACAGATTCTCAAATAAGCGGAGAGGGCAAACATTTGAAAACTTTATTTACCAAAACAAAAACCCAATAATTCTCTTGAAAATTAAGAATAGTAGTATATATAAAATATACTTTCTGTAGACTATAAAATCTACACGATTCAAGTCGAGTCGATTTCTCATTAAAAAAATATCAAGCCAGATGTGGTCCATACTGTTTTCGTAGTGGAGCACATAGAATGTTAAATTTGGCTACATTTTAGGGTTTCTTTAGCTTCATGCGAGTATGTTTAACAGTATGTTTCCATGGAACGGATTTAATCGGTACTATGGATCGGTATATGTACATCTATTATCCTTTCGGTTGCCAATCGCATAGTCTTTGGGGTTGGGGTCCATGGTTGTTGAAATGATTATATACGATTGTTCGGATACTTGATAGCAGAGTGAAAGAAGAGCCTTCAGTGTTTCAACCGATATTTCTGGAAGAGAATCTTAATCTCACACACACAACTCACAACGTTCCCCCTCGTTTTTTTTTAAATTTTTTAGTTTCATTTTAAGCAAAAACAATACAAATCAAAAATAATAATTATATAATAAATGTTTTGACCCAAAAATAATAAATAAATTATTCAATAAAAATCAAGAATAATAATTATAATAATTATAATAATAATTATTCAATAAAAATCAAGAATAACAATTATAATAAAAATCAAGAATAACGATTATAATAACAATTATTCAATAAAAATCAAGAATAACAATTATAATAACAATTATTTAAT